TTTATGCAGATAGATCCTATACATTTTTCACTAGATGTATTCCTTTCTACTTAAGATTTTTGTTCATATCATAGTTTCTTTATAAAAATAATAAGTGTTTTGATTGAGGTTGATGTATAGATTTGTAAAACAAATTTTATGCTGTCATTCAAACTATATAATTCAAACTATTCCTAAACTATGTAATTTCTAACAAATTATCTGTAGATTATTTTGGCTTTTCAGATAATAACTGTTAAGGATGACATAAAGTTCTCTTTCTTCACTACACTGGGTAGGGCTTACACTACAGTGATGAATAGAAACTATAATAATAAGTATCCTTGTTTTGTTCTTGATTTTAAAGGGAATTTCCACTTTTTCCCATCAGGAATGAGCTTTCTCTATGAATATACTTTTCAGATTTGGGACACTTCCTTCCATACTAAATTTTCTAGTAGTTTTTATAGTGCTTGTGTATTACATTTTATCAAACACTTTTTTCTGTATGCGTTATTCTTGCTTATTTATTTTAAAAATATCTGTCAATATGGTGAATGACATTTAAAGATTTTCTTTTTTTTTTAAGGTTTTATTTATTTATTTGACAGAGAGAGAGACAGCGAGAGGAGGAACACAAGCAGGGGGAGCGGGAGAGGGAGAAGCAGGCTTCCTGCCGAGCAGAGAGCCCGATGTGGGGTTCGATCCCAGGACTCTGGGATCATGAACTGAGCTGAAGGCAGATGCTTAATGGCTGAGCCACCCAGGCGCGCCCGACATTTAAATATTTTCTAATGTAAAACCACCCTTGCATTTCTAGAATAATCCAACCTGGTCATAATTTATAATCATTTTTATATAAATATAGATTTGATTTGCTAATATTTTCTTTAGGATATTTGCAGGTAACTTCATTTTATAGGTAGAATGGCCTGCAATTTTCTTTTCTCAAACTATCTTTCTTTAGTTTTGGTATCATGTTTACTGGACTCTTAGCATGAGCTGGGGAGAATCTTCCCCTTTTTCTTCTCTGGTAGAATTCTTGTAGCTATCTGAATCATCTGGGTTTAGGGTTCTTTTTTGGTGGGAATACTTCTAAACTCTGTTTCAGTTTCTTTATTAATTATAAGATATCTCAGGCTTTCTGTTTTGTTTGTTTTGTTTGAGCCAGTTTTATTTAATTAATGTTTTTGTTAATGAATTTTTAAAATTTTCAAATTTAATGTATGTGTTGATAATGAAAATTCTGTTCTCATATTTTTCTTTTCTTCACAAGAAAGATTATGTCCCCATTTTTATTTGTATTACTTTTTATGCCTTCTCTCTCTCTCTCTTTTTTTCTTGGTAATTCTATCTAGAGGATTTTCTATTTTTGAGTCTTTTCAAAAACCAGTATTTCAGTTTGTGGCAGTCTTTTGTCTTTTTCTGGTTACTTTTTAAGATGTTCTTTTGTCTTACTGATCTAAACTTACACTGAAATGTGATTAGGTCTAGATTCACTTCTAAATTTATACTGCTTAGAAATTGCAGTAGCTTTTCAATCCAAGGACTTGTGAATTTCTTCAGTTTTGGGAAACTAACAGCTTGAACTCTTTGAATATACCTTCTTCACCATTCCTTGAATTATCTTCTGGAATTCCTGTTAGACATATTTTTAGAGTCTTTTGATTTATTTTCCTTGCTTCCTAACCACTCTTTCATATTTTGTATCACTTTATCTTTTTTGTTACGTTCCTGTTGAGTTCTTCAGTAAAGTCTTTATTCTGTATAGAATGAGTTGTTTCCATTGAGTTTTAAGAGTTAAATATTTTTTTTTCAGATCATTCTTTTTCATGTCTATCTGTTCTTGTTTTATTTCTTTGTTTCAGATTGCTTGTTTTGATCAACATTGATCTCATTTCTTCCTCTGAAGATTATAAGTATTTTTGTTTTAAAGTCTTCTTTGGACACTGTTCTATTTTCTTTCTTTGTTTTTTTTTTTTTTTTTTTGGAGAGAATTTTTTTTTGGAGAGACTATCAATTTTGTTGTCTTTCATACCTTTTGGAGTTTATACTGCTCACTTCCCATGCATGGTGTTCTTTCCCTTCCACTCAGTATTGTACTTGGGTTGCCTCCACCCTGCATTTTCAAGGCTCCCAATCCAGAGCCAGGTCCTTCCTCTAGGATTCGTATGCTGAGCCAAACAGCACATCCACTGTGCTAGCTGGAGGAGCTACTTTTCAATGTAGCTCTGCTTTTTACTGGGTTGGTAGTCCTTGGGAAGTATTTTGCTACATTGCACCTTTATGCTGCATTTATGTACTCCTGCCTCTCCAGGCATGAGCTCTACATGGGCCATAGCCACCATCAGCAGCTTTTCTCACCCTGCTTTTCATGGTAGTAGAGCTTAGCCAAGGTTCAAGCAAGAAACTTGTCTCTGTCCTCTGTTTCAGATAAATAAGTGCATTTAAATTATATATTGCCACAGGATCCAAATCCCTAGCTACCTGTTTCTGCATCTCCAGGTCTGGCAGATCTTTGGGTTCATTCTTGCTTATCTTCTTGCGTTCCTTTTCCTTTCCTAATCTTGAAACTATGTGATTTCCAGTTCACCGCTTGAACCAGAAATGTCTGGATCTGACCTATAACCAGGGTCAAGTTGGCTCCCCCTTCACACCATGACATTTAGTTTGTGTGTCCTGTATAATTATGCATTCATATTGCAAAGACTCCATGAGGCCACAGCTCTTCTTTAGAAATGGTGGTCCCTTCTGAGCCATGTTTTCAAGGATTCCCTTTTTCATAACCTATGATTCAGATGTTTAACATGAAAACAGCACATCCACTGTGCTAGCTGGAGGAGCTACTTTTCAATCTAGCTCTGCTTTTTCCTGGGTTGGTAGTCCTTGGGAAGTATTTTGCTACATTGCACCTTTATCTTCTAATCTGGAACTTTGTAGGAATGTTAGGAAAATTAAACAGCATGTTATCCATGAAAGCACTGTAAAAGTAGTAAAGATGGAAATGTGTAGCTATATGTCTCATGTATATTGAAAACATTGGAAATATATCCAACTCAAAATATCCATCTGTGTAGTTGAGTTTTATTTCAGGAAGCCATTTTTTGATATATTCTTTCAATTCAATATTTACTGAGCAGCTGCTATGTACCAGGCTCTGAGCTAGGTACAATTAGGTGATAGGGCTCGGTATGGTTAGATCTCCCACATGTTTTAATTTTCTTCTAATGGGGAGAGGTCTCATTTGTTTAAGTATACAACTGTATTGTTAATAACAGGCAGAAACAGATTATGAGGAAAATGGGGAAGCTGAGATAGAGACTAAAAACTCTTAGTCACTTTGGCACATCTGCTCTTTACACTGGTGTTTTCTTGGTTCAAGTGATGACGTACTTAAATGACTGGGCCAAGTCAACAGATGAGATATTTTAAAACCTTTATTTTCACAAAAATTAGCTATCCGGCACAGTGTGACTTTGTATTTCTGAATAGCGAGTGCAAAAATACAATCTCCACTTCTCTCTGTATTTAGTTTTGACTGTCAATCTATGCTTATGCTCCTCTCCTGGATTCTATTCTCTTGCAGGAGATAGACCCCTTTCAGAGAGAAGGAAGGGGTTAGATCCTTGCTAGTTCTCTTCACTGTGGGTCCTTAACCCTGACCTTCATAGGACCACAGTTGACACAGATAAAAGGAGCTGGGACTCAGATAGCCCAGCAATCTTGCAGCCATACTGACTCTCCTATAGTGCAGAAAGAACAAGAAATTAACTGAGCCAGGCATTTTATGGCTTTGATTTAGTGCTTGCATATTATATAGGTAACTGTAAGGACTGATGCTAAATGTTACTGTTATCAAGGCTTGGAAAATCCTGCCCAGTGATTGTTCAGCCCCCGAACTGAGGAACCAGCCATTCTTCCCTTAAGCAGTTGAGGACATTCTTGTAATTTTATGATTTTCTTTTCCTTAAGCTTTCTTCTTCCAAATGTATTTTTTCCCCCTTTTCCTTTTTAGCCTGCATCTACCTTTCCCAGACTGCTTCTTACAAAGAAGTGCTTGTTCCAACTAGGCTCCCTTTCCTTGAGATTAAGTGTCCATAGGCAAAGCTGAGCTGTGCCTGCCTGCTGGGCCGCCATGGGGATCTGAGTGGGCAGGGAAAGAGGCAGGGCAAAAGCCAGAGGGCGGGAGGGAGAGTGAGCTTCTACCTGTCCTTGACAGATGGCCTCTGCCTGGTTGCTTTGTTTCTCACCACCTCAGCCCCTTTGATGGGTTGGGTCATGCCTCATGAGCAGTCTTGACCGTGACAGCAACCACTTCATTGCCACCCTGGGCCACTGCTTGCATGTGCTGGGCAGCGGAGGAAGGAAGCAGTTAAGAAGTCAGGGTGTTTAGCAGTGTTCTAAGTTTAGCCCTCCAAGGAAGCCTTTCAGACAGTCTGGCTTCCCCTTTTTGCTGTGAAAAATACATAGGTGTGCAGCAATAAACACAGCTTTAATGCCCCAGGCTTACAGAATAATGCTATTTGTTGAACATTTACTAAGCTCTAGTCACTGTTCTGAACATTTTACATCTACTAACTCTCCTAATTCTCAGGACAATCCCAGGGTTTCGATTCTGTTATTGCTTTCATCTTACACATCGGGAGGGGGTGGGGAGAAGCCTGGAGTGTAAATCCTTCCCTCAACAGCTAGTAAATGGACACAAACCCAAACAATTGGGTTCTCTACTATTTAAAAAAATATATTAGTAAATAAATGTCATGGTTTCCATTGTCTGTTGTTTCTATTGAAACGAAGTCATTGTTTCAACTTGTTCGTGCTACTAGATTATTTCTTGAGAAAGTAGTATTCCCAGTATCTCCCTTTTGTGTAGAAAATAATCTTTCCAGTGAATGGGAGGGGTTGTTACTGCTAGAAAGAAAGGAAAAAAAATTAATGACAAATCTCATCACCTAGAAGTAAATTGCTATCTTCACTGGGGATTCCCAATTATTAACACTTTTTTTTTTCTTTTTTATCAGCAAACCTTGAAGAAAAAATGGGTGGAGTTCAGATCGCTGCAGTTACAGGAACAGCGTCTGCTTCATGGTAAATGTGATTTCCTGTTCAGAAACCACAGTAACATTCATCTTTTTGGTATTTCTGCCTCTAAGTTGTTGTAAGATTATCATCATTATAAGAAAAAATTGTCTAGCGTGGATCAAGAATACTAGTCTGTGTTTTTTTGGCATGACCTTTGGAGTGACCTATGTTTTCGGAGGGTGAGTAGGTCAAGTCATATCCCCTCCTTCATATATATAACACATATACACATGAAAACACGCACACACTCCCATGTGTGCACACACCTACAAGAGGCACCTGGAGATTTTAGGAGAGCAGTAGGAATGATAGATAGCTGATTTTCCTACCACTACAGTAGATGAATTCAATTTCTGAGAACGTTTGTGGCTCAAGGGTTGTGTAGTTCTCAGAAATTATTGAGGCTGGAATGGGAGCATGCTTCTTGGGTAGAGATCCTATCATTTGTTCATATTATACAAGTTACGTGAATGCAGAGAAATGCCTCTTCATGGCCTGCAAACCTAAGACAGAAATACCAATGATCATTCTAACAGTAAATGCATGGCTCTTGCTGTTGTGTGAATTCTGAAGGGAATGGCTAAGTTTAAAATTTGTTGATTTGGGGGCACCTGGGTCGATCAGTCAGTTGAGTATCCAACTCTTGCTCTTGGCTCAGATCTTGATCTCAGGTCTCAGGTCATGAGTTCGAGCCCCATGTCAGGCTCCATGCTGGGTATGGAGCCTGCTTAAAAAAATAAAATAAAAATTTGTTGATCTGACATTTGCTATGTGACTGGTGTAGCCTGAGGAATGAACTTGTTTGTACAAATAATTCACTGAAGCCACTAGCTATGTGGGTGTGAAATGTAGTATACCTTCTTAACACTGAGCTAAAGTCTCTATTTATAACCTAGAATGTTTGTTTCAAGTAATAATTTATTTACAGGAGAAAAAGATACATTTAATTCATAATTAAGCACTAATGTATGGCTTAGAGGTTTGTGTTTATATTCTGTTTTTTTAAATGAAACTTCTATATAAGTTACTTCTCTTTTGTGTATTTTTGAATTAATATGCTAAAAAATTCTTAGTAGATTTTTGAGGGGTCTGAAGTTTCCTAGCCGGACAAAGGTATAAAATCCAGCCACTCCTGGATTTCTGTAGACTTGAGGGTGTTTGGGAAACCTTTTCCCCCATTTCTGGAACATTCTGGAGTTGGAGATGGGGTTTGGCCTAATATGTATAGGCAGTCCTGGGCTTCTACAGGCATAGCTTGTATAGACAAGGTCTTTAGTTCAAGATTAAGGGGAATGACTCTTCATTAAAGCCATGTTGTACCCATTTTTTTTGAGAGATTGAAGGAGTTCTGTAGTTTACTTTTCCTAGATGCAGAATAAATATACAGGGCATGAGATTCTCAATTGCTTTCCAGTCAAAAGAATTCATCAGCTCATTGCCAGATGAAATAAGTAGGTTTTATTAGTAAAAAGGAAAGCATTCTGACTAGTCAGTGCAGAGCTGGCCAAATTCAACCTGCAGATTAAGTGGAAAATCTGTCTCTTTTTGTATTGCTAATCAAGGACAAAGGAGAGCAACAGTAGAGAAATAAGCAGCACAAAGTAAAACCGTTTCTGAGTGTGCAATGTTCTATTACTTTTCCTGAAGCAGAGTCACCTTCTAAACTGTCGTTCTCAGCCTGGTATAACAAATAATCCTCTTGCATTGAGTAGCATACCAGCCAGCTCAGATAGAACACAAGCACATGGGGTAGGGACCGGATGTTGGTGTGCAATTAAAATTTGAGTTTGGAGAGCCCAGATATAGGTTATGAAAGGTTAATGAAAAAATTCAGCCAAGCAGATAAAACTCAGCTTCCACAAATGAACTGTTATTTATTTGAGGACAGGGCTGTTTTCTGGGTATGGTACCATTCCAGAACATTTAAGTATTAAAGTATTCTAGGAAGAAGCATGGACTATTGAGGCTGGAAGATATCCTCTCTGTTTTAAACACCTTTGAATTCTCTATAATCAACCTACGGGTGCAAGTTATATAACTATGTTTCCCATACACTTCGAGTGATGTTTTAATAATTTTATAATTATTTAAAAATACAGTAACTGAAAATCAGAGGAACTTAATGGAGTAAGACGGCATTTTCTCAAGTATATTCTTTATTTTTTTTTCCCAAGTATGTACTTTAGAATGCCATTTCTGTGAGCACGTTAATAAAAGTTTGCAGGGTCACTTCGTTTAAGAAATGATACGTTTGGAGATTGACAAGTCACACCGGCATACTCTCAGAGGAGTTGACTGTTCTTATGTGAAGAATCTATTTCCATTTATTTGATTTAGCATGACTATTTGTGACCGTGGAACAGTTTTACATGGAAGCCAGCCCATGAACAATAGTTTGGGAAACACCACTCTAAGGTTTTATCAAATGACCTCATAAAGAGTCACTTATTCATACGGGTGAAGCTCAGTGAAAAATATTCTTCACCTTTACTCTTTCTTTCCTGCACCGTTTAAAGAGAAATTTTGGTGTGTTTGCTTGTAGGGACTGATGCTCATATCCATTCCACAGTGGACTTTGTTTTCTGCCTTCCAGGTGACACAGGTAATTGCCCAAGTTTGGAAAACATGGACATAGATGAGTCGGTTTTGTTTGGAACCCTGCCAGGCCCAGGCCTGGCCCTCCTGGACCGGAATCGCCTATCCAGTGAGAGCAGCTGTCTGAGCTCCATGACGATGGACAGCGAGGACGGCTACCAGACGTGTGTGTCTGAGGACTCCAGCAGGGGAGGCTTCAGTCGACAGACAAGCACAGATGATGAGTGCTTTGTCCCCAAGGATGGGGACGATTTCCTGAAGAGGTCTTCTTTGAGGAGGAACCGGAGTGTTAGCACGGCCAGCAGTGGGTCCATGTCCCCCTTGTGGGAGGGCAACTTCTCAAACATGTTTGGGACCCTGCCCCGGAAAAGCAGAAGGGGCAGTGTCCGGAAACAGCTCTTAAAATTCATCCCTGGCCTTCACCGTGCAGTGGAAGAGGAAGAGAGTCGCTTTTGATGGGTTGTCCTGACCTTTCTTATTTCGTAAATATCTCTGGACTTGTTTAGACTAACTCCACCCAGCCTGGTGGGAAATTGCAGATGGATTGCAAAACTGAAACTCCATACCATGACGATAGATAGTGACCTTTATTTAAATTTTTGTATCATAAGGTTTGCTTCTTAAATCATTTTTTGTAACCAGAAAAGCGCAGGTGATAAACAGAAAGTAGGGGAACTAGGTAATAAGTTGGATAAGATGACAAATTAAGCACATTCCTGCTCATCCTAATGCTGCCTGGGAAGACAAGGGTAATATTTATTTTCTAGATTGTGTGAAAAATTGAGAACTTTTCAGTCAAGTGTAAATAAAAGAGTGATGGAATATAATTATTTGGGATACCTTCCGTAGGTTCATTGGTAGGTCATAAAACTTTGCTTAAGATCAGTAGCCTCCAGGGAGGCTTAATAATAGGTCATTTTGAATGTTTCTGTTTACATCTGTGAAGGATTATAAACAAAGAGGATCATCAGCTATTTTTCACATCCACAGCAACAATAAAGCAGGAAGTATGAGACACAATAAAGCAGGAAGTATAAGATTCAGTATTAGGGTTTGGGATCCATGGGAACATGTTGTCTAAGATGGGTGCTGAGCAAGATTATGATAAGGGCTTTTTAATAGACAGCCTAAACAGAATGGGAGAGAATGTCATTCTTACTCAATTCAATTTTTGTTCTGCCTAAACATTGATGGCAAGTCTAGAATTCTCAAGATCCTGCATACAGCTTTGTAAATTTTTTTTTGGAGCAGATGTCTGAAATTTGAAAAATTAGAGCCAGGAAAAGGATTTTCCTTCTGTAGATTTTTTCACATTACTCCTCACTTTATGTTATATATTCCCAACAGTTATTGCCTCAGCACTCTTTTGCCTGTTGGTTATGTTGGTATCACATTACTTCTAGCCTTTCAATCACATTTTTATTCAGTACCCATTCAAGTCCATGATTTCTCTGTTCTGGTGATACAGCTGCTCATGACCTATATTCTAGAGTAGATAATGCAGACAATGTGATAAATAGTCCTTATTGATTTAAAGCCTGTGTGTGTGTGTGTGTGTGTGTGTGTGTTTGTCTTAACAAATTACAGACATTTGATAGGTGACTTTGAGTGTAACCACATTTAAATAAATTGAGTAAAGAATGAGTCATTTTGAGAAAAAAAAGGGAGAGTAAGGAAGCTTGTAGGGTAAGAAATGAATATTAAAATAAAATATAAAAGATTGCTAACTGGAACCTGCTTTCTATTAATTATTTCAACTCCAAATTATCCAGTGGGCTCTGCTTTGGAATCATTCATATGAAAAGCAGGATGAGGTGTTTTGAAGGAACAATAACAATGCTGTCTACCATTTACTGAATACCTAGCAGGTTAAAGATGCTTTCCATGTGATCCTGAAACAACCCTGTTAGATGGGTGTTAGCCATACATAAGGAGCAGGAGTTTGGAGAAGTTCCCATGGCCAGCGGCAGGGCTGAAATTGGAAACCAGTTCTTTCTAACTCTGGCCTAGTCTCAGTCTCTCTAGATATTGTTTACTCTTTTGCTGGTTCTGTGTGGTCATCCCTACAGGACTTCCTCCCACCCCACACCCCCCACCCCTCATGGAATACTTAAAACACACAATTGTAGATACTGCATGGATAAAAATTGTCTTTGGTTAATAAGAGAAAAAACGGACATTTAGAATGACTCTTTCTCTTGGCCCCCACAAGCAAGTTTTCAAATACAGGCACATTAATAACTGCATGATTAACAATACATTTATTTTCAACAAAGGCTTGCAAGTCCAAGTTGTGATTGGACGGACACTGCTTATTTCCCATCTTAGACTAGAATTATCATGTTAAAGATCTGCTTCCACGAACGCAACATATCTGTTAATCCCATCTTGCCAAATCCAGGGGAAAGAAATAATCACATTATTTGAGGAAAGATGACTTTAAATTCTTCTACAACATGATCAGGGTTTCAAGAACTTCCACAAGTCATCTGGGAAAGCAGATTATAGGTCATTTGCTTTTCTCATGGCTCGAAGTGTTAAATATAGTGTAATTCTTCCTCCTTACAGTAAATATCAAACCCAAAAATGTGCAGGGAAGGGAGAGAGCAAGTTTCACTGTAGTCTGAGGTAAGAAGCATTAGAGTCAAGAGTTTGAGATGTTCTGGAAAAAAAGAAAAGCAGTTTTTAACCAAAGTACAGGAAGGAAGGGTATGTCATGTTTTGTGTGTTCACAAGTTGTAAGAAAACTAGTTACTGTTTAGTGGAAATGTAGGTAAATTTCTCACAGCACAGCTTTTCAGACTATCTGACCTCAGTGGGAGTTGAGAAGATTTCATTTCTCTAATCTTCTGGGGCACAATGACTCACTTTGATGTAACTTACTGGGAAATGAATTGAAAAGTGAAGTGTTTTGTTTTTTGCTTACCCCCAACTTGTCAAATATGTGATATTGGTGGATTTCATTAATTGACAATTGGCTATGAAAATGCACTTTTGTAGCATGGCATTGATAAACCAAATTCGAATCAAGCGTATTGAGAATTACTCTGTCCTGTGGCTAAAGGAACACCACCCACCATGTCCAACAGGTTGGTACTCTATTTTTTGAAATGATCTTTTATTCATCCCTTTCTACTTTGCACTACTTTTATATCTTAGTTGCATGTACAAACAGTATTAAAAATCCTAGTTTGAACTGAAGAAATCAAACTTGGGTACAGTTTGTGTGTACTGATCATATAGTATAAGTATTTATGGATTTATATAATCTAAGTATAGTAAATAATACATAACAACTATATTGAACCCTTCAGATCACAAGATTATTGGTACTTTATATCCATTTCTTTACGGAAATATGGGCAATAAAAAAGTTGATGCCTTTCTGAAATAAAGAATGCTCTTTTTCAGTGTCAGATCTCCCTTGTCTCCCTTTCTCTCCCTCTGCCCCACCTCTCTGTCTCTCAGTCTCTATCTCTTTACCTACTTACCTTAAATGAAATGATTGTTTTCAAGGCAGTTTTTTTTTAAAAAATCTGGGGCGATGTCTTGATACCTACTCTTTGAGGTTTTTTTTTTTAATTTTTAAAATTTAATTTACTTTTATTATGTTAGTCAAAAAGGCATGGCCTACTTAATTGAGGCTTTGTACTTGTATTAGCTTTCTGATGCTTAACAAATTACTACATACTTAGATGTTTAAAACACATTTATTTCCTCAAAGTTTCTGTGGGTGAGGTGTCTGGGCAAATCTTAGCTGGGTCTGCTCAGGGACTCATGAGGCTGCAGTCAAGGCGTTACCCAGCGTTGAGCTCGCCCTTGGAGGCTTGCCTGGGGAACGATACACTACCAAGCTCCCTCAAGTTGTGATCAGAATCATTTCCGTGTGCCATAGGATTCGTGGCAGCTTGCTTAGTAAAAGCCAGTAATGGAAAGAGAGAGACTGCACGCAAGACAGTCTTAATGCAACGTACCACAGGAGTGATATCTTCTCAACTTTGCCACATAGCGGAACATAATGACACAAGTAAGAGCCTACCAACTATGCCATGTTCCGTTTGTTAGACACAAATCATAAGATCCATCCACACTCAAGGAGCAGGGATTATGCAAGGCATGAACATGAGGAGGCAGGGATCAAGGAGGTCCCTTTGGATCTGTTCACAACATCATTCAAGGAGTTCACAAACTTGATAATATATTGAGTCTTTTCTAAACTCCTTTGAACAAATATAAATGATGGATGTTATAATTTTTAATAGAGAAGTAGTAAGATCTCTGAAATTAAAGAACCTGGCCAAGATTGTATAACTAGCCAAAATGCTGAGTAGGAAACTGAATCCAGGTCTCCTGACTTTGTCCCTCAAGTGCATGAAATGATAGGAAATTTTAAAAGAATATTAAAGTGTGAGCTAGTTACTTGCCTTAAAATTCTCCTCAGGGAATTTGAGTGTATTTAAGTGAATTAGTGATTAGCATGATGAAATTTATCACTTCTATATGGGTACATCTTTATGAGCACAGGACAGGAATTCCACAGAAAAACAAAATAAAATTCTCATAATCAAAACTACAATGCACGAAAGGAAATGATCAACCATGAGGAAAAATCAGGAGGTAGCACAAATACCAGAATTATCAGAATCAGAGAAAATAAAGCAGTTTGAAAGAATATAGATATGTATTTCTTAGGAATAGAGGATAAATAAAGAACATATGCAAAGAACATGTGCAACTCAATAAAGAACATATGCAAATATAATGGTGAGAAACAGGCTCCTTTCCCCCCAAGATCAAGTACAAACCCAGGATATCCTCTCACTACTTTTATTTACCATTGTGCTGAAAGTTTTAGCCAGTGTACTAAGACAAGGAAAGGAAACAAAAGTTATACAAAGTGAGAAGGAAGAAATGAAACTGTTTTTGTTTGCTGATGACACGATTGTCCAACTGGAAAATCATGAAGAATCAACAACAACAAAAATCCTGAAAGTAATAAGTGAGGACAGCAAGGTCACAGAATATAAATTACTATACCAGCAATGAACAACCGGGATTTGAAATTAAACAAACAGTAACTTTACAATAGTACCCCCAAAATGAAACGCTTAAGTATAAACCTGACAAAATATGTACAGTATCTATATGTGAAAAACCCCAAAACTTTGTCCAAGAAAATCTAAATAAATCGAGAGATATTCTGTGTTCATGGATTGGAGGACTTAAGAGTGTTAAGGTGTGACCTCTTCTTAACTTACTCTATAGATTTAGTGAATCCCAACCAAGGTTCCGGTAAACTATTTCATAGACCTTGACAAACTGATTCTAAAGTTTATATGGAAAAGCAAAAGATCTAGAATAGCTAAAGTGAGGAGGAAGAAGGAGAATGAGGAGGAGGAGGAAAAAGAGGAGGAGAAAGTTGGAGGAATCACAATATTCAATTTCTAGACTTTCTATAAATCTACAATAATTAAGACAGCATGGTATTGGCAAAATACAGCATATAGATCAACAGAACAGAATAGAGTGCCCAGAAATCAACCCATACAAATATAGCCACTGACCTTTGACAAAGGAGTAAAGGAAGTTAAGTGGAGAAAGGGCAGAGTTTTCAACAAATGGTTCTTGAACAGTTGGACATCCATATGCAAGACCTTACACATTTCACACATTATAGACCTATATATAAAACATAAAAGTATAAAACTTCTGGAAGATAACACAAGAGGAATCAAAATCAGTTCGGTTATTGAATATTGGGTTTGGTGATGAATTTTTAGGTGTAATAAAAGGATGATTTATGAAAGAAAAGGTTGATATATTGTACTTTATTAAAATTTAAAAAAATCTGCTTTGGGAAAGATACTGTAAAGAAAATAAAAAGGCATAGATTGAGAGAAAATATTTGCAAAAAGCATATTTGAAAAAGGGCTTGTGTGCAAAATATAAAAAGAACTTTTAAAGTTCAAAAATA